ACAAGTTGATAACAACCAAACATTAGCTTAAAGCTAAAACTAGCAAAACAGCAGTTAAAAGTAGCAAGAAGCAAGTTGATAACAGCCAAAGACTATCTTAAAGCTAAAACTAGCAAAGCACCAGTTAAAAGTAGCAAGAAGCAAGTTGATAACAACCGAAGATTAGCGTAAAGCTAAAACTAGCAAAGCACCAGCTAAAAGTAACAAAAACAAGTTGATAACAACTGAACATTAGCTTAAAGCTAAAACTAGCAAAGCAGCAGTTAAAAGTAGCAAAAAGCAAGTTGATAACAACCGAAGATTAGCGTAAAGTGAAAATTAGCAAACCACCAACAAAAAAAAAAGCAAAAAGCAAGTTGATAACAGCCAAAGACTAGCTTAAAGCTAAAACTAGCAAAGCACCAGTTAAAAGTAGCAAGAAGCAAGTTGATAACAACCGAAGATTAGCTTAAAGCTAAAGCTAGCAAAGTACCAGTTAAAAGTAGCAAAATGCAAGTTGATGAGCCGAACACGAGCTTAAAGCCTAAAGTAGCAGAACATTGGCTTAAAGTTAAAATAATTTATTAAAAAGCTAAAAGTAGCAAACGTTTTCAAATGCTGACTCAGCATTCTCAAAAAACAACGTTTAAATAAATTACATCAGCACAAATGAGTGTTTTTGACTTTTCTGTTTTTATTTTTGATCAGGGTTAAAATAATAAACTGGTTTTTATTTCTGGAACTTTCTGAGAGGAGGAAAACAAACCAAAGATTTCAGCACAAACGGACAAACGGCATCAATAACAAACGATATTTGGATCGATCCACACGATCGATAAAACAAAGATTCTGTGCGATGCTCCGAGGATGTGTCAGGAATAACTCTCAGCTACTACCACTCCTAGCTCAGTGTCTGTCACACCAGTTCCTAACTCACCTGACACTATTAAGACCTACGGTAATTCACGAGGAAGCAGCAGTTTGATCTTTACAGTATTTACATGTTTACTCAGTTCAGACGGACGTTTCCCATGAGTTCATCGGTAAAAAAGGCGACGCCTTCGGGTTTTCCTCCCCGGTTGTTTATTGCAGAACCAGCGACTTGTTGAAACTGCTCAAAGGCCTGCGCTCACTTTGAGGTTTTCAACCCTCAACCTTCTGCAGGAAGAAACGAGAACAAAGACTCTAAAGATGCAGATCAGAAGAACAACCTGTGTTCGTGTTAACGGTGTGTTTCCTGTTTGTTTGTTTGTTTGTTTGTTTATATCTGTAAACACAAGTTCTACGTTCAGGATCCGTGCGATCAGTAACTTCCGTGCGTGCTTCGTGTTTGTTTAGCTTGAGAGCAGCGTGTTCCTCTGAGGGCGACGACAGCTGCTGATGTAATCCATTCGTGTGGAACAGGTGTATCGGAGCAGAGAAACATCCAGAACACGCAGGCCCGTGAAACCCGAGGAGCAGAACCTCACCGTGTCCGATGAGACGTGGCGGAAGATTTCAGTGGGAAAAGCAGCTTTCACACTTTCACCCGTGCACATTTTTCAAGTTGGGCTCGTGCAGAGATCAGCTCTGTGAACCAAACTCGAAAGTGTTTTTGTGGCAGCTTTATTTTAAACGAGAGGAACTTGACCCAGTTTGCACGACGAGCCACGTAAACAAAAGCTCCAGCCCGACACGAGGCGCTCGGCTTGTTTATGACTTTAAGGGCTGACGGTTTAAAGACGAACTGAAAGACACGATACGTCTTATCTCCACCGATAGGCCTCATCATTGTTGCGTGTGTGTGTTTAGGGTTAAAAACTGTAATCCAGTGTGGTTTCCTCCCTGCGGCTGCTCGGCTTTGTAACAGACTTTTCTTTT